AAGCTCTCCCTCCTCTGTGAGGGCAGATCTGCACGTTCCCCCTACCCCAATAGCTAGCAATCCAAAATAGCCCAGTAGAGCCTGAGCGTTGGGTGTTGCCTTCTGACACACTTCCGGTGATGTCAGGGGGTGTGGCATATGCAAGTAAGTTATGCTAATGTTATGCTAATGAGCTCCTGCACCTCTTTTTTCTACGAAATGACCCCTGGGTATTACTACTCCTGAGGGTGTCAGATCTCCTATGAGTGGCTACTCAGGTTGCCATCTCTGGATTGTGAGATTCTTGGAGATTTGGGGGGGGGCAAAGCCTGGAGAGTTGTAATTCCGGAGGGTCACTAGCCACTGCCAAAAGACTGAATAACCAAAGAGACATCACAGGATAAGTGAGCAGAAAATAGTCCATGACAACTGTGATATATTGTGGCTCAAAAATGATGGTCACAGTCACAGAACAGACCAAACAAAGGAAAGAAGAAACTGTGAAGTAATTGCGGTAGAAAATATTTAAAAAACAATCACAAAATTCTTATACAAAGATGTGTACAAAGAATCTGCATATGTACCGTAAATGCACAAAGGCAGCTGAAATTGGTGAGATTGACGATGATCTCCGGAATGTTCTATCGTTTCGATACTATTCTTCTTCCAAATGTAGATCAATAAGAATTTTGTGATTGTTATTTAAATATTTTGTACCGCAATTACTTCACAGTTTCTCCCTTCCTTTTTTCCAACCATGATATTTTTACAGAGGGGAATATACCTCTTTTATAGATTTTTTTTTTTAAAAAAAGCTAATACATTTCTGTACATTCACACAAGAATGAGCATCAAAAAAAATGATTCCACAATGATAACAAGCACAGTCCAATACTCTAAAGTTCTTATAAACAGTAAATCTTCTTTGTGTCTTTTTTTAACTTAAAATTTTTATTTTTTTTTTACCTTAGCAAGTGCACAACAAACATATATTGTACATTCTGTAGGCAAACCTGTGAATTGGGCGGAGCCTGAGGAGGCCGGGGTTTAGGGAGGGGAGGGATGTCAGCGGGGTATAATGCCCTGGAGTCCACCTCCCAAAGCGGCCATTTTCTCCAGGGGAACTGATCTCTGACACCTGGAAATCACTTATAACCCCAGCCACCCCCTGGAAGTTATATACTATATCTGAAAAACACTGTAATTTTTAAGGAATATACACAAAATTCTATTTGAAATTACAAAAAAAACCCCTTCTTATGAACTATTCTTTAAAGGTGCAGTACAAGTTGAATTTAAACACAGGAAGCTAAACCATAATACACGAGGTTAACCACATAGTCTTAACCACGGCTTAGCCTCCATTAAAGGGACAGGACTTCACCCCCGCCCCTGGTTGTTGGCAAACCTTTCTGTCATATAGAAAGTCCAGTCTTTATAGAAGCCTTACCAGTGAGGGATTGTGAAAGGCAGGAAGAATGCCGGAACATCTCCAGCAGAAAGGCTTCCGTGTACGGCAGCACGGAACGGTCGGACAGCCGGGGCTTTCTCTCTCTGCCGATGGTTTGGTCTGCAGGACAGGAGAGAGAAAAGAGACTGAATAAATATACCTTCATTTTATTGAGGGCATTTCTACTCAACTTCTCTCCCCAACAGGGAGCCAAAGCAGGCTATATCTCACCTCCATTTTTTCTAATCGGTCTCAGTGAATCCTTTCCTGCTCAGCGTTCATCTCTGCATACTGTCTCTCTGCATGATGCTCACATTCAGTGAAATCATCTCTTATCACAGAGAGAAAGCTGATTATTGGACTGTGCTTGTCAACTTGGCGGAATCATATTGATCTATTTTTTGAAAATCTATAAAAGAGTGGTATTCCCTTTGTAAATATATCATGGTCGCCATGGACTATATTCTACTGCCAAGAGACTAGCAACCCTGGTGGGCTACAGCCCAAACGCCCAGGAAATGTTATTTTAGCAGAATTTCAAAGAGTGTTCCATATGTACTTACTCATCATGGTTGACCTGCCATTGGTTGACAAACACGCAGGTGTCTTTAGGGATGTAGAAGCCGCTCAGAGCCGTGTCCCGAGTGGTGCTTCAAGGAAAAACAAGGGCCGTGATTCACACAAGGATAAGCCGCTGCAAGTCTTTTATGGAATAGCATGTGCTAAATAGAAGAAAGCTTGTGACCCTGAGCTTATATTCCTGGAAGAAAGTCCCTTGGAACGGAAGAGATGCTCTTCTGGTTAAAAGGGTTTATGGGAGTTTTGAATGCAAAACCGAGATGAAGTTGGGATAAATTGCAGGCGATAAATGGAGTCGCCAGCTCCGGGCTGGGAAATATCTGGAGATTTTGGGGGCGGAGCCTGAGGAGGCCGGGGTTTAGGGAGGGGAGGGATGTCAGCGGGGTATAATGCCCTGGAGTCCACCTCCCAAAGCGGCCATTTTCTCCAGGGGAACTGATCTCTGACACCTGGAAATCACTTATAACCCCAGCCACCCCCTGGAAGTTATATACTATATCTGAAAAACACTGTAATTTTTAAGGAATATACACAAAATTCTATTTGAAATTACAAAAAAAACCCCTTCTTATGAACTATTCTTTAAAGGTGCAGTACAAGTTGAATTTAAACACATGAAGCTAAATCAGGGAGAGCTAGAATCCTGATCCTACTACTTTATCTTAGGGGCAGTATGCACTGGGCAGTCCTTATCCGTGGAAGCCCCGGAGAAAGGAAGTAACGATTAATCACATTTCCTTATTACAGTCAGGGGTCATTTCCTGCGGGAGCACACAGGAGCGGAGCTCCGGCAGTAAGGAGCCCAGGGAGGGGAGGGATGTCAGCGGGGTATAATGCCCTGGAGTCCACCTCCCAAAGCGGCCATTTTCTCCAGGGGAACTGATCTCTGACACCTGGAAATCACTTATAACCCCAGCCACCCCCTGGAAGTTATATACTATATCTGAAAAACACTGTAATTTTTAAGGAATATACACAAAATTCTATTTGAAATTACAAAAAAAACCCCTTCTTATGAACTATTCTTTAAAGGTGCAGTACAAGTTGAATTTAAACACAGGAAGCTAAACCATAATACACGAGGTTAACCACATAGTCTTAACCACGGCTTAGCCTCCATTAAAGGGACAGGACTTCACCCCCGCCCCCGGTTGTTGGCAAACCTCTCTGTCGTATAGAAGGTCCAGACTTTGTACAAGCCTTACCAGTGAGGGATAGTGAAAGGCAGGAAGGAGGAATGTGAATGCCGGAACATCTCCAGTAGAAAGGCTTCCGTGTACGGCAGCACGGAACGGTCGGACAGCCGGGGCTTTCTCTCTCTGCCGATGGTTTGGTCTGCAGGACAGGAGAGAGAAAAGAGACTGAATAAATATGCCTTCATTTTATTGAGGGCATTCCTACTCAACTTTTCTCCCGAACAGGGAGCCAAAGCAGTCTATATCACTCTCCTCACCTCCATTTTTTTTCCTCACAACCCCCCTTTGAGGTAGGTTAGGCTGAGAGCTTGTGCTTAACCCAAAGGCATCCCATGAGCTTCCATTGAAGAGTGGGGATTCGAACCCAGAATCTCCCAGATCCTAGTCTAAGCCAGGGCTCCCCCATGGTGAAGAAGGAGAGGAGGTGGTGGAGGAGGAGGAAATTGGATTTAAACCCTGCCCTTCACTACCCGAAGGAGTCTCAGAGCGGCTTACAGACTCCTTTCCCTTCCCCTCCCTGCAACAGACACCCTGCGAGGTGCTGAGAGAGCTCTGAGAAAACTTGTGACTGACCCAAAGTCACACCAGCAGCTCTACATGGAGGAGTGGGGAATCAAACCCGGTTCCCCCAAATTAGAGCCTGTGCTCCTAACCACTGCGCCAAACTGGCTCTCTCAAGCTTTTCAGAAAGTGGGTGGGGCTAGTGTAAAGGCAAGATTCTTATTGGCCACACTTATCCAGATGGCAAGAGTTTCTATGGCTGCAACAGCAGCTGTGGTCACTGGAGAACCAAGAGACCTTGTAGCTACTCAGACTTTCCTCAGTCAGTATATGGGACTGTTCTTCTGCCTTCAGGCTTTCGTTCTTTTTCTTTCCCCTTCTTTCTCCATTCCTTCTCCTCTTGCAATTCTTTTGCAAAGGAAGGAAGGAGGTATCATGCTTGGCTCGGCGTCCTGTGGCAGCCATTTTAGGTTTGACTCCACCGCCTGCCACAGCCATTTTGGGATGTTGTTCCCCACCTCCCCATGAAATTCCAAAGGAGCCCCACAGGCTCCAAAAGACTGGGGACCCCTCCTGCTCTAACCACCACAGCACGCCACCTCTCCTACACGTTATCTAAATTAAGCTGAGTTTCAGATTCTGAGTGAGGGGTCTTGGATTACCTATCTCCTCCTGAATCTTCTTCTGGATTTCCGGGTAGGTCGCCAGATACAAGAGGGACCAGGACAAAGCAGTGGTTACCGTGTCGAAACCTTGAAGGAAAGAACAAACGGATCCGTTAATAACAAGACACCCAGAAAGGTGGAACGTTAATGCACGGATTCTCTTTCCGAGAATTCACAGTGAGCCTCATTTACTACCCTAATCTGGGAAATGAAAACTTTCAAAAACCGGGGATCCAAGACCGGTAAGAAGCACTGAAAGTCTAAGAACGTGTCGAGTGTTTTGAGCAAAGGGGTTCTTTGGGGAAAGTGATTTCTAGGGAAAGCGAATTTCAAAAGTGGGATGGCTTTACATATCTCTGAATGGCCAATGTAGAGATAAGCTTTATGTAGGAAAACAGAAAAATAAGGCACTCCTAAAGTGAAGGCGCCCCCCCCTCAGCCTCCAGACTTTGTGACAAGAGAGACAGATAGCTAGACAGCCACAATGACGTTTCCTTCCTGTGTTTACACTTTTGCCACTATCCCTTTGGTATGCAGAATGGAGATCTCAGGGAACAACTTCCTTCCTTCCATTCATTCTCTCCCCCAGAACTTCGCTCTTTCCCCCCCTTGCACGCACCAAGAGGGAGGACACCCTGTCCTCATTTTGGCACCGTGACTCAGATGGCCTCTCGCCATCTGAGTCCATCCTTTGCTAGTTAGAATAGAATACTACCCTATCTCTCATCTTTCTTATCCAGATTGTAGTTCTAGAATAAAGAGACTAGTATGACCAGGGGTCATTTCCTGCAGGAATGA